CGGGCTCTCCTTTCGCTTTTGTTTCCCCGGCGGCCGCGCTCCTCCCCCGCCCGCCTGAAACTCCGCGGAGCTTCCTCGCCCCGGGCAGCAGCAGGTCGGACGGGCCCCGTTCCGGGCTCAGAACTCACGAGGAACGGCACAGTAATGGCAGGGGACCGGTTTTACAGCTCTGCTGTGATTCCGTATTGTCACACGCGTCCGACGGGTTGTATTAGTAGCAAAAGTGACGAGTATGTTCAAGCCTGAAAAAAAAAAAAAAGCTGCAAATAATGTTTTTAACAGGCAAAAAAAATGTTTTCAGAGAAATCATGTTTGCCACCTGTTAGGCACAAGCTCTTAACTTTTCATTATAATTTTTAACGGCCTTATGGATATAGTTTTAGAGTCTGAATAAGGATATTCTGAGTTGGCTGATGATTGAAGGCATGTTTGAGCGTTATTACATTTTTCCTAAACAACGTCTTAAAAGATCAAATAGCTGTTGTATCGACATAACTAAGATGCCCTGCCCGAGTGATTCCAAACCTGGATGTTTGACCCTTGCATCTAGTTTCAGAACTTAGGTCTTTGCTTATGATTTGCTGGGTTTCACTACAGTGTCTTACACTGTTTGTGTAGCAAGGTGGCAGCAGCGTATGCTGGCTTTTCAGCTGTTTGGTTAAAAGCCTGGGCTGCTCACTGAAATTGGTGGCAGCTTTAAACTTCTTTAAAGTGTGGCCGCTGAGGGAGTCGGCATGTGTCTGCTCTAACCGGGGGATAGCAGCGTGGGCAGTGCCCTCGGTGTTTTCTGAAGGAGGCTGTTAGAGCCCTTAAGATAAGCAGAAAGCACAACTCAGCCTTGTGTGCCAGTGCTGATCTCATTCTCTACTTAGTCTTCCTGACCACTAGATGATGTTGGTAGCTGATGTGGAATACTTAGTATAAAAAGGAAAAGCCTAGCTTGTTATCTGTGATACTAAGCTTCAGCTGTAGCTTGTGTCCCCATTCTCTGCCAGACCACTTGAGGACACCAGACTGACGCGTACCAGCACCTAGATGAGGATTTTTGTTTGCTCTTGCAGAACAAGCTACCCAGAATAAAAGGCAATTCCTGTATAAAACACATTGTTATTTTTAAATCCTATTCTAGCCGTGCTTCTTGAAAGGTCATCTGTTTTCCATGTTGCTTCCATACAAAAGCTTTAGCTTTTATCTCTTTAGAATGCTGCTTGTGCAATGCCTTGCTCTCTTCTTAGCTGAAAGTGGTGCCTATGTGGATGATTGTGGTGTTTGAGCACCTTGAGAGCAGTTTGGTTACTGAATTTAGTTGTACTGAAAAGATTATGCACATCCGAAGACTAGTTTTGTTGCAGGACACCAGAGAGCCTTCCCAATCCTGCCTCTTGTTTCTTCCCTTCCTCACTCCGAAACAGAGTTAGGTTTCCCTTGCGTCTGGGTGATAAATAAAAGTCCGAAAACATGCCTTTCCAAATTTTGTAAGGATACGTCAGCAGCACTACTACAGGAAATCACAGTGCCTTTTTCCAGTTATTGACAGGAGGATTTTTATGAACAGTTACACTGGTGGGTAAAAGAAATAGATTTGTTTATTGCAGATAGCTCTTGTGCATGTTTGATTTTTGGTAACAAAACATACATTTAACAGTCTATGTGCTCTGTATGTTGCTTGTGTACGTCAGGGGAGGTGTGTTTCCATTTAAAAGAAAGTTGCACTGCTACAGGTAAGGCTGTCAGAAGAAAAGATAACTCGAGAGGAACACCCCCCCACACGTTTGGAAAGTGTGGGAAGGCAACTGATGTTATGACTGGTAACGCTACTGCTTGTGGGGGTGACTCACAATGCCCAGACCCACGGGTGGCTCTTGACACAGCTGAAGGGGCAGCCTGCAGCGGTCGTAGCAGGAACTGATGAACAGTGGGGCAGCCCTGGGCTTTCTTAAGCTGGCTTTGCTTTTGAAATTCTGTTGGAAACTGCATACTCAGTTCTGTAGGTTTGATTGTTTATAGTGCAGCTAGGCAAGATCGAACCAGTGATATGTGTTATATATGTATCTATAAAATCTATCACTGAAAGTGCAATTTTGCTTTCCCCTCATACAATGTAGAAGACTAGCCAAGCCCAGGGGACAGAAGTCCTGAGGTACCAGGATAGGATAGGAATCTGTTCAGCTGCCTTTCTTCACTGGGAAATTCATGATAGCGCATTGCAAGTGCAGACAAACCCATAACCAGTTAAGCTGTTCTTGGCTCACTGCGTGCAGTAGGCTCTAGGGAGGTCTCCCCACCTCAGAGGTCGTTAGTCTCAGCCGTGCCCTGCGCAGTGATTGCATTGCTTCAGCTGTCACCAGATGGGTGCTAACTGTGGCTTTTACAGATTCCAGAGTTTGACAATTTGTACCTGGACATGAATGGCATTATACACCAGTGTTCACATCCAAATGATGATGATGTTCACTTCAGAATCTCGGAAGATAAGATCTTTGCTGATATTTTTCACTATTTGGAAATACTATTTCGCATTATTAAACCAAGGAAGGTTTTCTTCATGGCAGTTGATGGAGTAGCTCCAAGAGCAAAAATGAATCAGCAGCGTGGGAGACGTTTTAGGTGAGAATATTTTTTCTCTCTCTGTTTTTAGGATAGTACGCAGATACAAAAAATACTTAAATGAATGCTGTGAAAAATAAAATATATTATGAATGGCCATGCTTTGATAGTAGCTTTAATTTTTAGTGAAGTGAGGGTAACTATGTATGGAATGTTAATTCTTAAATCAGAGTTCAGAAAGCAAAGTTTGTGTATGACTTAGATTTTTCTCTGTGTGCATGGTACTTGGGGGCGGGGAGAGCTTTCTTCCGATGAATTTTTCTGTGAAATAAATCTGCAGTGAAGTTCTTACAGATGTCTCCAATGGCTTCCTAACCTGTCGGTATGTGTGAATGCTAGTTCTCGATGCACCTTTCTGGTAACTGCCATGGGATGTTCTTTGATCGTCATAGAAGAAATGAAGTTTCTAATGGAACTCTGGCTTCCTGGTGGTACCAGTTAGCAAGCCAGCTCAAATACAGAGCTGCAAGTAGATGGCACTGTGTTAAGGATTATATTAATGTTTTGGGAGGTATGGAAACTTTTTTGAAAATTGCTGTGTGTAAAGAAAGCTAGTGGTCAGACAGTGCAGGCATGGTGAGTGAAATGCAAAAGAAACAAACTGGGGAGAAAGGGAGAAGAGGAAATACTTTCAGGCTGCTGGGGTTTTTTTGTGGGCTTGGTTTTTGTTTTTTTTGTTTAAGAAAAAAAGGAGATTGAGATGAAGAAGAGATTAAGAAAGAGTTCTAAATAGAAAATTGGAGTGGAATTCAGAGGAGGACAAAAATCTAAGGCATTGCTAGCTTCTTTCTCTTGTTCAAAAGTAGTTTATGAAATCCTTGGCCAAAAAAGACTAGGATGATATTTGTTTGGTTTTGTCCAGTACTAGTAATGATAAATTATTAGTTCACCTCCCCGACCTCTGTCGTATTCCAGCTTGCTGCTTTGTTTAACTACATTACTGTTACTGTTCTGGGGTAGCATTTTCAGATGGTTAGATTCCAAGTAGTCCTGCTGTTCCAACATCGATTTGCTGTCATTGTGATCAGCCATTGAAAGATCATCTTGGTAATCAAAATATTAACTGTATCAGAGAAATGACAGATCATCATCATTACTGGGGGAAAAACCCATTATTTTTAAGGCTTCCAGTTGTATGAGAAACAAGTTAAAATTGTATTCTGGATTTATATTTCTCTCCCTCCCCTTTAAGAAAAAATTAACTGTGTATTTTGTCAGTAAAGTTGTACTGGAAGGAGACTTTTTACAAGGGCCTGTAGTGACAGGACAAAGGGTAATGGGTTTAAATTGAAAGTGGGGAGGTTTAGATTAGGTATCAGGAAAAAGATTTTACTGAGAGGGTGGGAAGGCACTGGGACAGGTTGCCCAGAGAAGCTGTGGATGCCCCATCCCTGGAAGTGTCCAAGGCCAGGCTGGATGAGGCTTGGAGCAACCTGGTCTAGTGGAAGGTGTCCCTGCCCATGGCTGGAGGGGGGATTGGGGGGGCTTTAAGGTCCCTTCCCTCCCAAACCATTCTGTGATGCTATGATTAGGGTATTAATACTTGAATAAGATGATTCTTTCTCTACTCCATCTCTTCAACCCCATTTTGTTTTAGATCAGCAAAAGAGGCAGAGGACAAAATAAAAAAAGCATTAGAAAAGGGAGAAACTCTCCCTACAGAAGCCAGATTTGACTCCAACTGTATTACACCAGGTAAGATAATGTTAATTATTTAAATGCAAGTGTTTATCGGTTTGCCTCTATCGTTTGGCACTGTTTTCCTATCCTAAGGGTTTTTTGTTTTGTTTTGTTTTTATCTAATTGGAGGACAGAATCCTAATAACTTTTAATAGGGTTGGAATACTGTCTTTCTCTAAAACTTTTAGATTGCTATGGGAAAAATGAAACCCCTTGGGGAGGGAAAGACACCTGTCCCCTTATGTCTGGCAGAATTTGGGGGGGGGGGGGGTTTTTTTTTTA